GGGGGTATAAAATCTATTTCAATTAAACATCATCATCAATAACTGGACCAATGACACTTCAAACAGTGTACTGGTTCTTAGCAAAAAAAAACCACACAAAAAAAATGTGAATTTGTACAAAGTATTCAGTCAAAAATTGAAATGCTGTCAGTTCGTCATTTCATAGTCATCACTGCAGTAGAGTGGATGTCAAAACTGATATGGATACTTGAATAGTGATGTTTCAGTTTTAATGCTGTATACAGCGTGCACAAGTAAGTTTTAGTATGCTTCAAGAAGAAATAAAATATGATGATGATGATGATGATGGTGATGATGACGATGATTTATAAAATTTGGAAATTCTACTTGAAGTCTCAACCCTTTTTTATTCCTTGTTGCTCACTATGATGATGATGATGACGATGATGATGATGATGATGATGATGATGATAAAGTTGAAACTTACTCTGTCGAAGCTTTCGATAACAGTCCTATATAAGTGATGACAAAGTCTCTGAATTTTCCATCTTGGTCTTTCCCACGGCTTCCAGCACAGGAATATCCTTGAGGACGACAGTCACAAGGTTAGAATTTCATGAAACACACCTCACATGCCTTCAATGTTTCAATAGAGTGTTACTTTTGACATACACAGTCTAGCACGCATGTAGTGAAAAGATTTTCAGGTCCCAAATTTATATTTTTTTCATATTTAAAACACATAAAAATTTGTATATATTTATAAATAACGGAAAAATGTATTTTTACATATTATACCCAAAATTTCATTTCTCATCCCCTCGCTTGTAATTTGAATGAATGTTCTTTAAAACATATCTTTGACACAAACATTTATATTATAGTACAGCCAATTATAACTATACAAATTTAAAAAGAAAGAGTATACATTTTAGGGGCAAACAAAATGAAAAAAAATTTGAGCAACAGTAAACTCAAAGAGAAGAATTTAAGAAAAAATTACCTGGAAGCGGGGCTCCAAACAGAACTTCTGACCTCAAAAGGTGGCTCTTTTGAAAGGTCCTGTTTATCTTGTCATCGACGTAATAGTAGAACGTCTCATAGTTCATTGCAAGTTTCAGGGCACTATCTACATCCGCTAAATTGGTCCCCATTCCATCATAGATTATTTTGCCCTCAGAATTTTTGGACGGATAAAAATATGTAAGCAATGAGTTCAGGGGAACGCATCCATTCATATCCCTAACCGAAGGAATGTGCCGTACTAAATTTGGGTCACGGTAGCAAAATTTTCTGAACCCCGGGTGCTCAATAATTTGTTTTTCGATTTGATGCACTGTCTCGAGGCGCTCCTTTGTGAACATGTTTGTGTCGTTGTCTCCGTGCGCCAGATAAATGACGTGCATCTTCCACCTGGCGACAATCTGGGGTTCAAACTCAAACAGACACCGAACTTTGTTGGCGGCTCGCTTCAACCTCGACAAAACCGTGTGATCCGAGTCTGAAGCGAGTGGTGGTTCCAAACCAAACAAATTGAGATTTGAAGTATCTAAAGCATCTCTTTTCTCCCTTACAAATGACGTATGGCCTGCCAGAGGCTTAAAACTGCTTTCATGAACAGAGAATAAGTCTCTTTTGGACCTAAAGAGTTGTGACGCAGCACTCGTATCCCGCCGCATTCTGGTACTAGAGTTCTTTCTAGCTAGCATTAGGGCCTCAAAATTTTTGTAGGCCTGGTGGTTAGGTATACTGAAAGACTTCACAGATTTGTCGATCTTCAGGTCGTCTTTCACGATGACACTGTAGTAGCCGAGCCCAACGCTTAAAGCGATGAAGGAAATGGCCGTGAAGAATGAGAGCAGGACCAAGTACCACCGGGCCCGGGGAAAAGTCAGCTTTGGTCGCGAGCAAGCACACGACACTTTGCAGAGCATTCCGTCTGCGTGGGAGGAGCCCTGCATCAATGACTCTCTAGGAGGTTCTGCTGTCTCTCTACCATTTCTGCAGAAGACAGGCTCAGTTCCCAAATCTTCGGCCGTGTAGTCAGACACAACAGCCCCAGATGGGTAGCTCATACCCTGTGTCCGGTCTTCTTCAGCGTACTCCCCTGATGCCATGCACATGAGCTCATCCATATCCGATCCATGACGGTTGTCTGAATTGGTCACTGGTGTCCATCCATTTGACGTTCCACCACGAAAAACAGAAAACCAGCGCATCACAGATCTGAAAAATCAGGGAAAAGTAATAGACATTAAAATCAAACGAGTCACTTGCAAAAAGAATAATCAACACATTCTAATTTTTAAAAAACTATTATTTAAAAATGAACCTCCCAACTTATGACTTTTTGCACCTCCAGACAAGTTTTTGAGCTATTGACAATTTAAATCTTATCTCGACTTTGGATACACCAACATTTTTACCACCAGTTTTATTTTTTTACAGAAAAAAAGCAAAGGACAAACAATTTGAACACAAATAAGAGTGTCATTTATTGCAAATTACTTTCACATTACATTTATCTCAAAATAAACCCATTTTCAGTATTGCAAAAAGCCCATCCGAAATCTGAAAGACAAGGGTAGAAAAAGTGACAGCATTTTTTTTTTTTTTTAGTTTTACGGCACTCACAGCTGCAAAGGAAACATTATTTAAACATTTCCAGCTGGTAGGAAATTTTGAAATTAATAGCGCGGGTGGCGACCGAAGCCTACTTATATCATTTTTGGACTACCAAGGGATCTTCAACGTGCGCAACTTGCACTCGGGACCTCCGAGATTTTTCAGCGTGATCTGGCAGTAAAAGAAGAAGCCACGGAGTAGCAGTAGCAAAGCTGCAGAAAGAGTCAGGAGCCCAGAGGAAGGGGCAAAGGAGATGATGGGGCGGAGGCAGAAAGTGGAGACGAAAGCAGATGATGTAACATTGCCAGAGAGCAGGAAAAGATGTGAAAGGAGAAAATCTTAGAGAAGCAAATTTTCCGTCACTATTCAGATTCGAACCCACGACCTTTAAATGAAAGGCAAACACCTTAACCTCTAGACCACGAAAACCCTCAAACGTATCAAAAGGAGACCGAGAAATCCAACAAACATTATGTTTGATGGGGGGGGGTCAAATTGTGTCAAAATGGTAGCTCTGAAAATATGTGGCGGTCTTGGAAACTGGGCACAATGTCAATTACCCTGCTACTTTGTTTTTTTACTTATAAATGGACTTTCAGTAACTCTACTACTAGAAATTTATACCTCTGAACTTCACTTCTTTGAGTGATGCAGAAGTAATGGAGTCTAGAAATGTTCATAGTGTGAACTTGTTGTTACCATAGAAACCTTCGTAAATAAAATGTCGGCAACATAAAAATAAAAGTGAGCTTCTAAATAATAAAAACAACTTATATTATATATATTATAATTTATTAATCAGAAGGGGAGGCCCATCATGAATCTTACTAACAATGATTATGTTTTATAGTATAGTCAATTCCTTTACAACCCTCATTTTGCGTCTTTGGTGCTCTAGAAAATATTTTGATAGAACAAGACACTTCATTATTGTTTTTACACATAGAGTAAACAGTAAGTGTTTCTACTGAAAAAGAGAAACGGGCAAATTATGGAAATTTATATTATCAGGGATGTCAACAGGTTTTGAAAAAAAAAGCCGGAAATATAACGGCGTGCGCGCACTGACTGAAATAAGAATACAGTGAGGCTAAATTATATTACAACAAATAATTTCAATTGTTCAATTTAGTATATTATAATATGTATTGTTTATAGATCTAGTCGACTTTTGTTAAAAGCTGGGGCCCAAATGCCTCAAATGGCAAGTCGACGGAAAAAACAAAAAAGCCTGAAGATTTACATCCCTGTATCACAATTAAGGGACACACAAGACATCTTGTCATGCTCTGATTGCGATTAAAAGGGAAGCTTGCCAGTGCCAAGTGCCCTGAATAAAATCCCTGTGTTTCAACCTCACAAACCCTCTAGGGGTACCAATTATTATACACACAAACAGAAACTTACTTGTCAACAGCTTCCTCGTCCACCTGGAATTGGAAGTAGCCTAACTAACACACTAGATTTTAGATCTAGACCTAGATATGATCTCTCGATTCTCGACTGATTACTTGGCCTGTTCAAATCGGGTAGAGAGTAGAGGGGATGTCACGGGTGTGACCAAAAAATCAACTTAGAAATCAAATCATAAATAATAAACAGCTGATGTTGATTCTATGGCGACCAGGAACGCCAGACAATTTGTCACGACTAAAGACCTTCTTCCTCCTCAGAACCTTCTGAAACACAAATCAAATCATGATTTTCAGTGAAGGCAAGAATAAACACGACAAGTCTAGTAAAGACGCATCCTGCTCGCCAGAGCGTTCCGTCGTTTAGATCCTCTACAGCCTCGTATCTTTGTTGTCCAGGTGGAACGACAACTTCCTGTTTTATTAGGCTTTGTGGTTCCTCTCTGTTTACAATGACGTCAGTAAGACTGGTCATGTGACTCGATCTATTCTGAAAGTCTCTGGGTCAAGTTGACACACGCGCGGGCGCACGCACACGCACACACACGCGCGCACGCATGCACATGTGGGTGGTTGTTAGGTGTTCTGGTATCACTTGTTTCTACTTTCCTGTCAAACATGTATCGTCGTCATCTCTTTCTATCTTTTTATAACTTTTTTTTTTAGTAGAGGGTTTTACGGCGCTCGCAACTGCATAAGGTCATATATATGAGCGCCAAGGGGTGGGTGCTTAGCGTACAAGAAACCTTTTTGTTTCCAAGTTGCCAAGGTTTTTTGTACGCTAAGGGTGGGTGTCAACAGAGTCCTTACAGGAACAGGGAATCTGACTTACTCTGCTCACCTCTCTAGCTTCAACAGCACAAGGCAGTAGCTGGCGCCATTGGTGCAATTGGTGCAAGCGCTCCACCTAACCCTGGCCTTC